GGCACCAAACCCAAAGTGCCTTCCAGGTAATACTTTGATGACTTAGCTGAAAGTTTGCAGACTTCTCCATAAATGTCTTTTATAAAACAGACAACAGCTACTAGTTAAGTCAAAAGACACATTGACAGGTTTTTGAAGTAGCCACAAGCACTGCAGTGAAGCACAAGAACCATGCGATGTCTCTGAAGAGCAAGGCACTCACCAAGGCTTCTGATTCAACTGCTCAGTTCAGTTTCTTTTCCTCCTCAGTTAAAAAAAGTACTTACGAGGAGATAATTCCAGTTAGCTTCTGAAGTTTTAGCTTTGCCCAGACTGTGGACCCTGACTTAATTTGTTCTAAGGAAAAGAGAACCTTCTTCAGGAAGGCAGAACCATCACATGGTGCTCAAGGATTTTCCTGTATAATTTCAGGGTTTTGGACAGCGCAAAAGTTCTCCAAACAGAGGAGACAGCAGACAGGGAGACTCAGGGTGCTCTTACTATCCATCTCCATACTGGAGATGGACAATCTGGACTCTCAGTCACTATTAGCAAATTCCAGAGAAAGCATTAAAGTACAACCAAATCTAGTTAGGTCTGCTTAACAGCAGCCATTAGCATTTCATGGTCCCAGCTAAGTCCTCCAATGTGGAAGCAAGTAGAGAACATGTACAGTTCAGTATGTGGGGTCAATTCGTTCAGCCCACTAAAACAAGTTGAACAGCAAGCCTACCTCTCTGCTGGCTTCATCACTTTTTCTGCTGGGTCTTCAAGAGGACATGTTGTTGGTTTTTCACAGAGCAGTTGCAAATCTGGATAGGAATGCAGGAAGGCAAGCAATACCTTCACTCTGCTGGGTAATTTTTCTGGAGAAGTCTTCCCAGCAATGGCAAGCTGCAAACAGGAAAGATAAAGATTGTCCAGTGCATGTTGTATACAAAGTGGCTGGGACTCCTGGGTGCAGACTGTTCCTCAGTCCAACTGGACAAAGTGTGCCATTCTGAACTGGTGAGTGTGGGTCTGTCAGCACAAACACACCCAAGGTTGGGATCACCATGCAGAAGCCTCCAGGAAGGTGGGTACCACACTGCAGAGCTCAGGAGCAGTCTGCCATATCAGCCTGGCAGAGCTCATCTGAAGACACACCACCACCACTAGCCCAGACTCCTGAATTGCTTCTGCTGTGACCAGACTGCCAGGTACAGTCTTCAAATCATACCCAGACAAGTTTACAGGCTGAGGGGCTGGGAGGATGGAAATAATTAATGCAAGAACCTGACAATAGCAGCACCTTCCCCAACAAGGGAATTTCATGTTGTTTCCTCAGGTTGCAATGACTCAGCATCACTGCTAAAGTCATTACACAGCCTCTGAAAGGGAACAAAGGTTCTCAAATAAAAATTACAATTTACAAGTAGATCTAAGTATCATCACCACATCAGAAGCCACACAGAATGCTGTAGTTTTGCTTAAACAGCTAGAAGAGAGGAGGCCTCATGCTCCAAGCTCCGCAGCAGACTCCTTTGGAGCCAACATCACTGTGCTCTCTCTCCCTCCCTGTTTACCACCTGGGAAGGAACTTCCCTACTAAGTAAGAACACTGGGAAATTCAGTACAATGTGTTTCAGGGTTTTCCAATATACAGTAGTATCAGACTGGAAAACTCTACTTGACAATCCTGCTGGGATGACAACTCCAGCCAAAGGCACAGGAAGGAACAAGACAATGCCACCTGTGTGCAAGCAAATGAGAAGTTCGACCTGAACAGCTACAAGGAATGAGACAAAAAAGCAGAACAAAGCACCTTCCACCTCCTTCCAGAGCCTAGTGCTGCCTTAGAAGTGACTTTACAGACAACTGAGACACACAAGGGCAGGAAGAGAACCACCAAACAAGAATCAACAAGTTAAACCATTGGGTTAATGCAGAAACTGACTAAGATGCACGCAGGAGATTTATCACAAAACCAGCTGAACTCCATTGTATTTCAACAATAGGTTTATTTTAAGAAACATAACATGACATTAAGTAAAAATGCAAAATTGTGCAATTATGGCAAAATGTTTAAAAATCCACACATTTGCCCTCAGAGGACTACAGTACTTCTTACTAACATACCTGAGCACTGAATGTTGGATGCCTTTTCTAAACGGCCTTACGAACAGGGAGCTCTTCAACTTCTTGTAGAACATACACACACTGCATGGTTGGTGCACCAAAAACTGCTTTTAGTTATTCTAAGTTTTACTGATGGAATCGAGTGGAAATTACAAAATGTTTCCTTCTAAAGTAACTAATCATTTTGGAAAAGAGATTTACACTCACATAGGTCCTCACAATGCTAGAAATTCATTTAATAAAGGGAAATAACTGAATGCAGAAAAAATACCAAGTGGGGAAAATGTACAGATCACTGTTTAAATATTATCAGTACCTTTGGTGCAATCAGGTCTTGTTTTGTGCTGTGTGAGTTTATCTAAGCCTGACTCTAAAGCAAAATTTGACCAGGAATCTGGCTCTCATCAAAACATAGAAGCATTTTAAGAATTGGCAAAATGTCACAGCTACATTACTGTCTCAACAAACTCCTCATGCAAAAGATTCAGTATATTCTACTCCCACGGCAAGTTCCAGGATTTAGCTTTTAAACACATTACAGACTTGGATCACACCCTCAGTTTGAATGGTTAAACAGAATGGAGATCTTCGTACTTTAGTGCAGATAAACAAAATTAACAAACCTACTGCAGAATGAACCACAGCATATTGTACTTCTATACATCACATGACCAGTCAATTGCTAACTCAATTCTATTTCATAGTTTCAAGTAATATATTGAAATTTGTTCTACTAAATAAATATAGAAGATTGTCAAAAAGCAGCAAGAATTCTTGTAAATACTCAAACAAGCTTAAAAAAAACAAACAAAAACAATTTTTTAAAAAAAGTTACATAACACTTTGCAAAAAAAATAATAAAAATGGTTTTACACACAAATGCAACACTGCTAGGGAGGGTGCTTCAGAAAGTTTGCAGCTAGAGGCCTACAACAGAGCAAGGAGAGCTAGCCAAGGACCAAGGATAATTGGAAAAATGAAATGAGTTGTACTTTAAAAAAAACCATCTCTTCTTCTTGGCTATGGATCTATGTAAAATAGGATCCAGAAGAATAAACAAAGAAACAACACACCTCAACACTGTTGGAAAATGCAGTTTTAGCAAGAATTATCAACTTCAGGAAAGAAAAATGAAAATTCAGGTGCTCACATTGGAAAGAAGCGGTTTGGTGAATCTCAGGAAGATGAGGTATGTAATGCAAAGAGGCTTCTTTATTTTTTTCCTTTTCATTTCACAGTTTTTTTAATTTGTTTTTGCCTTTTAAACATTTTGTGCAAGAGTTAAGAAATAGAACCAGGAAAGTATTTTTGTGTATTAGGAAGATTCCACTGGGGAACAGTAAGACCACATAGTAAACGAACATTATCCAAATCCTCAGCCATGCCAGGGGGATAAACAATGAGCTAAATATTTGGCTTCCTGAAATATCAGCTGTTAAGCCAGATAATGGTAAGCACTTACAGCCAGTGATGGCCACTGCCATTTCAAGTTAACTGGTTTAGTTAGGTCAATTTAAGTAAATAGGAAAGAGTAAGATAACGTAATCGCAGCTCTGCAAAAAATGAGAGCTGTAACAAATCAAACCTGGCAAGTTACAGCTGATGTGCTGTAGGATTCATCTTCTCCCTTTTAAATCCAGTTTTCACTACTGAAGTAGAGGCTGAACTTTGAACATATTTACTTCTTTGAAAATAAGCAAAATGTTAAATACATAGAGAAAAGTGTTGCAATCCATTGGATTCTTATTCTATATTTCCATCTAGGATTTCTTAAACCATGGGATTCTTATTGTCAAATTTGCTTTAACACACTGGATAATGAAGACAGCTCAGTAGTGCAAATTTTCACATTATAGATCAGGCTGAAACAGAAGGTATTTGAGGGCTCGACTGCAGGGAGAAAAGAAAAACAACTTGTAAAGTTGTGCGACACTTTTCCAAATCACTGGAGCATGTGCCAATTCTGCACACAGCACTGTACTGTGGTGGAGGCAGAATGAACACTCCACACAGAAAGAAAAAAAAAAGAATCCATATTATTAAGGCCATATCCTGTCACCACTCTGTGCAAGAATACCACTGCAGTAAAAATGTTATGTTAAAAAAGACAATATGATGACAGGACAAGGCCTGAAGACAGACACACACTCCATGAAAAAGAACAGGCTGTCTTAAACAGTAGCATAAGGCTAGCCCATTTCACACAAACAAGTATTAAAAATGTACTAGCACCATCAACTTTTGGGTTAAAGCCCTTTAGGGGACAAAAAAAAAAAAAAAGGTTGGAGCAGTGTTAAAAAAATTTTTTACAGCACTACATCTAAGTGGCAAAAACTAGGTGTTGGGATTTTTTTCTCCCTGCCACCATTAAGCTCAATTTTAACAAAAATCCAGTTAGGAAGTGGTTCAGTAATCTGAATAGACCTCCACCTGAGGTAAAGTTACTCCATGATCCAATTCTGACTTGAGTTTTTCTCCCAAATTGTAGTGCACAAACAACGTCACAAACATCTTAGCAGACTTCAAAAACAGTACAAAAAAAAAATAATCATTATGAATCAGGATCTACCATTTCTCTATGTAACTTCATTCTAAAATTAAAAAAAACAACAAACAACCCAAACCAAAATCAGTGATATTGCCTCAAATTTTACCCGTATTTTAAAAAAAAAGAGAGAAAAAAAGAAAAGTCACTTCAAAGCATCTTGCACATCCTTAGCTATTAATGCTAGATTTTCTTCCACTGTAGTGCATAGTTATCCTGGCTCTTCCACTTAATTTGCTCTTACCACAAAAAACACCCCTCTAGTATGGCATGATTAAGTGTTTACCAGAAAAAAAAAAATGTTGATAATTGCACTTTGTAACCTCCTTCTCATTTCTCAGGAAAATATCAGTAAATATGAAACTGAACCAGTAATTCCCTCCCCAGACTGCAACCTTTAAAGAGCACCCATCCCCATACACAAAAAACTGTCTGTTTCAGCTTACAATAAATACTGACAGAATTTCTTTGTTTTCTTTAAGACATGTTTTCTCTAGCATCAGATTACCACTGAAATCACTAAGGCTTGTTACTGGAAAAGAAAAAAAAAAAAAAAAAAGAAATTAAATAACTTTCTGAAGACACTGTGGATACAATTTAGCAACAACACATTCAAAATGCCGGCCTAAATCCCAGAGCCTGTCTGGAGTCTCGTACACTTTTTGCCATTGGTCAGTAACCTCATCATACTGGTAGAGTGAATTCTTCCTGCTGGTTCTGAAAACATGTTCTTCAACAGTGACTTGAGTAGCTCTGACAAACAGATGGAGTTTGTTTTTGAGGAGTACAAGTTTTATATAGGGATTAATGGACTGATCACAGGGAAAGTCTTTTTTTCGAGTCCACTTGTTTTGCTCAATGTCATAGGCCTCTACGGTAAACATACGTTGATGGTTTCCACAGGTTCCAGCTATGTAGTAGATGGAGTCATTGTACACAGTTGCCAAGCCTTGGATTCTAGGCACAGTCATTGGGGTCAAAAATCCCCAGTAATCCTTCTGAGGATCATAGCAGAGAAAAAATTCCCCTGAAAAGAGAGAGGAAAAATAAAACATAACTTATGCCTCATTTCCAGAACAGCAATTCCACAGCTACTAAGCTTTCAGGTATGTTCTTCCACAGACAGAAATGGCTTACCAACTTGATCCCAGAATGAAAAACCTAGGATCATCACCTGGTTTCCTCCAAGTGCATTACAAAAATATCAGTAGCATGAGTAAAAACTACTGGGGAGTTTCTATTGCAGCTGAAAAAGGGGGAATTTGAAGCATATCAGAAATACAATGCTTTACATATTTCCTGGCTATTTCTAAACCATGCTGAATAAGGTCAGACAAAACCTTTCAGGATTCCACTCCTGAAATGCCTGAAATATTTGTCTGTTCTTTAACACCTTCACAACACGATACCTACAGACCATGGAGTCTCAGAATTCCATGCTTGCAAGTTGTTAAATCTGAGCCAGTAATTGTGTCTTGTACTGCACATGGATTTTGAAGCTACTCATATCAGGTGGCTGGGTTACAAGTTTGGGTTGATTTGTTTAAAAGGATGCCAGGTGAACACTTGCATGAAGCTACTGATTCATCGTTAGTTTTGTGATTAGATTATAAAACACCTCTTCTGTTGACTGCACAAAGTCACAACTACAGACTGCAGATAATGGCAGTTCAGATGAAAGCTCATGCTCTGCAACCTTCATGAAAAGAACACGGATGAAGGCCACTTTGTCTTTTGTAAAGCCAAGGGGGAAAAAAGACCTAACATTTGCCAAACATTAGCATAATTCAAATCACATATAGCTTCACATCGCAATCTGAAGAGTTGTAACCAAGCTGCTGTGTAACCAACCACCTCAAGTTAACAAAGAATACAGTAATAAGGCAGTAAAATGGGTGGAACATAGTTTAAGATACTAAGTCTTACAGGTAATACATTTTTTGATTATTCTCTTTTGTTCCACAGTGCAACCTCCTATAACTGACACTTGTGTTCCCTTGGCATTTTAACACTCTTATCAAGTTTTATGGACTACTTCAAAATTATGAGCTTTCTCTAGAAAAAAAAATGATTGGAAGTTAACATTTTTGTACCACTTCAGTGCAACTCAATCAAGGTTTTATCTACCACACTCAAACAAAAAAGCTGCCTATTTTCCATAATTCAAATCTTCCCAATTTGCTGGTTAGCACAGTGAAGCAGCTTGTTTATTTATGTGAGCATTGAGTTGTCATTTAAACCACTGAAGCACAGAATTAGTGCAGCTAAAATTTGTAAACGAGATGCATTATTACTCGAAGGGTTATAATAACAGCTACTTTTTAGAATTTCTAAGAAACATTTAAATGATGAAGAAATACTCTACCAAGTGAAATATTCTTCAACATTCCTCTGAAACCACCCAAAGCAGATGTCTGACCCAACAGAATGGACAGATTGAGAGAACTTGCTAGTGTAACAGTTATTTAAAGCCACACCCAACCAGATCAAGCCTCACACAGCAGAAGAAAACTCCCACCCAATCATGCAGAAGCCCACCAGCCTCCCTGAGTGGCAAGAATGCAAGGTCAAGAAATTCAGTTGACCGCTTCTGTTAACTAACAATGACCTTCTATCCTGTTTCTTTCCTGCTGCCTACCTTTGCATGGAGAGTGACGCACAGAGGGAGCTGGTATGGATCTAAGATCCCGACTTCTGCAGGTGTTTACAAAAGTGGTTCTTAGCAAAACATCACCAAGACATCCCCTCCTCTTTTCTTTCCACTTCTTGGGACTACTACGACAGCCTCATGGACCAGTCTCAGCACTTTTAAGTGTGGACTGCTATATGGTTTGTGCATACTTATAAATACTTTTTTAATACAAGATCTCCACGAATAAAGGGAAGAATAAATTATTTTATCAATCCCTACCTTTTTATTAATTTAAGAAGCAATATCTAATACATCAACAAGTCTGATAATTTACTGTAAGAAAGGCTGTAAAGGCAGTACTACAGTTACTGACCGAAGAAACAGAGCTAACTAGAGACAGAGAAATTACCTTTCTTAGCTACCAGGGTGACTTCAAGAAGTAGGGTAGGGTGGGAAATGAAGGCCCACAGTGGCAAACTGAATTTTACAAGTCATCAAGAATACAGACACCAGGAATTTTCCCAGGTTTAGCTAAGCAAAATGCAAAATGCGTTTTCATAGAACAATACATTTTCTTCAACATTATTAAACCTTATTTATCTGTGTGAAATGCACTGAAGAATTTTCACAGTAAAATACTATACCGTTGACTTAGAACACCACCAAAACTGCCATTTGTGCAGTAACTCAATACTACAGCTTAGCGATACACTCCCAGAGCACAAGAACTCAAGCAGCAACCTCACTCTTCCTCACCCACTGCTCTCCCTTGTTTTCCCTCCCATCTCTTTGTCCAAGGGCACTCATTTAAATGTCCAGAAAACTGGGCTTTTCTAAGGTGCTTGAGAGGGCACAGACAGAATGAACAATCCCCACTTGCAATAAAACACCATAGAGTCAGTCAAACCACCTTACCCTGTAAAACATAGATGTTATCCTTATATTCCACAGCACTATGAAACTCCATTGCTACAGGCATTGGACAGACAGCCGTCCAACAGTTCTCCCGGCTGTCATAACACTCCACAGACTTGAGTGAGTTTCTCCCATCTCCTTCATAAACTCGACCACCTATTGCATACAGTTTACCACAGCAATGAACCAATTTGCAGCCTATCCTGGCTCGCAACAAAGGAGCTTTTGGGATCCACCTATTGCCAGAGTGATCATACATCCAAAAGTCACTCTCTGCTCTGTGGTCAATGGAGACCTCGCTGCTGCTTGGTCTGTAACCACCCGCAATATAAATATCATTATCAGGAGATACAAGAATTCCAACCTCCCTCAAGTCATTTGGTGGCTTGCATAGTTTAAACACTCTCCCTGTGACCGAATCTAAACAAGGCACTGTTTGCTTCTTTCCTGAGTGTTTGTGGGCAGCATCAAAGCATATGATCATTTCAGAAGCGGTCATTCCAAGCCGTTGCGTGTAGCCATTGGCACTAGGTTGTCCCTTTTGTACACAGCTTTTGGCCATAGCCTGTGCAAACATGGGAGGGATTTTCTCTAAAAATGTCTCTTCCAACAGAGGCATACGGATGCATTTGGCAAATATTTCTGGAAGGTGCACTTCTCTCTTATGTTGTTCGTGCTCAAACCACCTTATAATGCTGTCATAAACATGTTCTTCTTTGTCTACATTTAAATCATCACTGTCGAGGATACTTATCAGTTGGTCTTTTCTCAGCTGAAGAAATTCTTGCTCTTTGGTGACACTCAGGAACTTTTTACGGATGTAGTCTTGTGACCTGTCTTTGAGTTCCTGATGGCCGTAGTGATCAGCAAAGATAAACACCCCAATGGAGTTCTGTGGGTCCAGATGACTGATCATGTATTTAGCACACTGGTCTTGTATGGAAGGGATCTGGAAGATACTGGCTGCAGTGAACAAAGCTTGAACGTTGGCCTCTGTCAGCATTACTCTGGAGGTATATGCATAGTTCAACACTAAATGCATTGACTCTGCTTCAACACCAACTATACGAACTTCCTTCTGGGTGCTCTCTGTAAGGCCGCTAGTGAACATAGATCTACAACAGAAAATGTTCAGCAGTTTATTTGTGGTTGCATTAAGAAATGAAATTATATTGTACAGCTCATCCAGATATATGTGCCCACACATCAGCACGAAGAGCGTTTACCCTGTTTGGGTACCTAAATTTAAGGGACTTCTAGACTTACTGAAACAAAAGAGACAAGCTGTGATGTCTTGCTTAATTACCTCACTAACCCCATATTAAAATTGAGTGTACAACTAAAGCTCTTAGCATATCCAAGTCTTTGCACTCAGCTTTCAACATGTTATTTCATATGCACAATCTAGCATGTCATAATATTTAACCTGAAAAAGGAAACAAGCAGTTTAACTATGCTGTTACTGTATCCAAGATAACCTCAATAGTAGAGGCACTTATTTTTTTAAACCATGTGACATTTTTTTCAATGAAACTCTCCTTTGACAAACAGACACTGATAATTCATTGACTTTAAGAAAAAAATAATCTTTACTTACTAGGTGCATGATAGTATTGATAATTACATGGAATATTAATATCAGTGTGATTTTTTTCTAATTTTCATTTAATGAAAATAAGTTCTAATTCTACTATTGGTCACCACCAGAACAACAGACTATTGTACCTGAAATAAGGACTGATTGCAGCAAGAACATTCCTATGACAGGAGAATGTTTTCCCATGATCCACTTCCACTACAATATCTGTCAGTTGTCCTTCATCATACATGGTTTTAAGCTGTTGAAGAATACTACAGGCATGGAAGGGGTCCATCCCACTGCTGACTGTGTTTGCAGAAGGAATTCCGTTCAGCGTTTGTGAAAACTTACTTGGTTCTACAAAACAAAATTGAAACTGTTTAACAAAAAAAACCCCACAATCCTCAAAACACACACACCCCAAAAAGCCCCATTCATGAACAAGAATTATCACAAATTCATATTCCATGCTTCCTCATTGTCACCATCCATCAATAGCAAGTCTAAAAAAGTCAAGGGTGAGTAAAGACAAAGATACCTCAATTACTTTATTTCTCCTTGTCCCAATATACATGTAGGCTACTGTTTAACCTATAAAATCATATCCATTAATATTGAGGGGAAAAAATATATCATTCATTGTTTATATTTACTACATATCACTGGAAAGAAAGTAAATTCAGTCAAGAATCACAATGCTCACTAACTTATAAATCAGGGAAAGCAAAGAATGCAGAGGAATAAAATAAGCCCCCAGCCTACATCACCATCACACGTCAGTGTGTTCGTACTTAACTTCCCACTGAAACAGGAACTGGCTATTAACTCATACGAGTGATGGTTAATAATGTAGAGTCAGAAAAAACAGCCCTCCAGTAAGTATGTTGGGCAACAAACTTCAATTCACATGGATTTGCATACACAGTTACATGTTTTTCTTTGCAAATTAAGTGCGATTACCATTTTTAATTAGTTACATACGAAGGAGTTTGCGTCTCATTGTGAAAACATATGAAGTGGAGCACATGCTCCTAAGCACCATGTGATTTGCCTCCCCAAGTAAATCCCAAAGTGAAAATTGAGCAATATCTCAAGCACAGAAAAACGTGTTTCGTAACAGCAGCAAAACTTTTACGCAACAACAACAACAACAAAAGAAACTCAAAGGGAAAAACATGAGGTGGTAAGAGCTGCAAATCAGGTAAAGCTGCTGACTGCCACAGAGAACGCTTCCAACAAATTTTGGGCAACACAAAGGGGCAAAGAGGATAGGACACAACAATGCAGCTGATGAATAGGAGATTTAAATTCTAACTCGTGGTGATATACAGCAGTCACACTTTGTCTTACTCAGAATTCAGACACAGCTTTGAGCACAGTCACAATTAAATCAGGAGGGATCTGCTGTTGGGCATGCAATTCCCACGGCTGGCTTGGGGCCAAATATTGTCAATGTCTCTTCAAAGTACTGTTAGGAAAAGTCTTCAAAACACTTATTTCTTTCCAAAGGCAATAGTAAATACTTAAAAGTAACATCTACAACAGTTGAGCTTACTTTATCACAGTAACTTGAAAGCCAACATCCAAAACTAACCAATCATTAGGGAACAGGAGAATTAGGGAACAATGTTAAACACACTACCAGCAAATTCCAAGTAAATAATACATTGCTATATCACTTACAAGGTTTCCTACCTAGCAAAGCTTTGATTACAAGAAAATTTTGATGAAGCTATTGTTGCAAAAGAGTTTCATTTATTATTATAACAGTGAAAAAGAAGTTTGTAACAGTTCTTGTCTGATCTTGCCAGTCACTCAGGCAAAGCACTCAGCTTGCAGCCCTGGGGGACTCAACCCAGAACAAACACTGATCCCCATATTCCAGGTTTTCTATTTAATCCTTGACATTATCTACACTGCAGTTTTCACCCTGTAACACCCTCCCCAGTCATTTTCATCACCTTCACTTTCTCTCTCCCACCCCAGGCATTTTTCTCCTCTATTAATATTCCTTTCACTTGCACCTCAATATGTTAACTCTGCCCCCAAGCATCACCCCTAAATACTCTCCACATTAATTCCTCAGACAACCATCTCTTCTCCACTCCCCACACATCACCCTTCCTGGCAGCCTTTCATCACAGAAAGCCCCTCTCCACCCCCTCAGCTCTGCTCCCCTCACAGACCCAGGGGTGTCCCTCACGGGGAACCCTCCTCCCACCCTAACAAAGCACGGAGCCACCGCACACCCCCCCTCACAGCCCACCCTCCCCACCCACCAGTGACGCCCCACACCGCAGACCCCTCACCCAAGCACCCC